GGTTAATACATCGGACTGCAAAGTCGGTTGAACTGCAAGGTCAGTGGTTCAAGCTCACCAGCTGCTCCTTGGAAACTCTACACCGGGTCGTTATGAGTCAGAATCGACTCAATGGCACTTAACAACAACAACAACAACAACTGATGATGTAGAATCATAGGTTTGAGGCATTTCTTTTGAACAGTGGATGGAAGAACTGCAATTTAGTTTTACTTAAATTGCTTAAGTGCTATCCATTTTCGAAGGCTCAGCGCAAATATTCCCACCTTAGTTTTCCGGTTGGAATTCCCTTCTCCTCTTGTCTCTTTAGATGCTCATCAATCTATCACGGTGTTTGTAACAGTCTGGTTTATACCACACTTATTTGTGAATCAAAATCTCATCCTTCACCCCTGTAGATTGTTAATCATTTCAGAGTAGAGGTTACAACTTATTTTTCTTTTGAATATTTTTAAGCCGCCACCTAACATTGCCTAGTGTGACTTGAAGAAATAGATGATGACTTACTGTTATGAAATTCATTTAATTTGTATATTTACAAATCTGTTTTATAGATTTTGAAATGTTGATACTATATTTTTATGTAAATAACAATCTATATTTCTTGCCAATCATTTTTTCCTCCTAGGAGGTATTCTATAAATTTACAGCAACAAGTAGAAAAAAATTGGCATAGCATTGCTTACAGAAAATACCTCCTGGGAGGACTAAGCTGTTGGCAAACAGACATAGAAAGGATGTGGTATTTGCATAAAATATGGCAATATAATAATTATCAGAATTTGGTAGAACTCCTGAAACTAACTACTCTAGAATTACCTAAACTTGCTCAATTAAAAGAATCCCTTGAAGTGTAAATAAAATGTAAAAATACATATGAGCTATTCCTGTGCCCTGCTTTGGACCTTTAGTCTTCAGAGGATTCACATAATAAGTCAAGGTTAAAAAACATGGATGTTGTCAAGTATCTTCATTATGTAAATGAAGAAATGAGACTCAGAGAGAGTAACTGATTTGATCAACATCATGCAGTAGATAGCAGAGGCAATAATTGAAAGTCTTTAAGCTTTTTGAAAGCCTTTTGTGTTATATATAATGCTTTATTATAAGTGATGTCCAGAAAAATAAAAATATTAGCCTTTTTCTATCAGTCCTTTCCTCTTTTACAAGGTCTATATGTGATTATAAGGAGTTCTGGTAGCATAGTGAATTACTAACATGAAGGTCAGCAGTTTGAATCTACCAGTTGCTATGTGGGAGAAAGATGAAGTGTTCTGTTCCTATAAAGATTTATAAATCTAACTCCATAGCACACAGCCACCACTGTATAGGATTATGTGTTCCCATAATACCATGTAGTCATCTGTTAACTTTACTGACATTTATGGTTTGTACGTGAATTCAAAATTTATGCATTAGCAAATATGTACATTCATCCTCTTATTTTTACCCCACACGAATTTCACTCACTCGTTCAGTCATTTAAAAAAAAATTCTACACATGT